AGAAGAAGTCGTTTGAAGTTTTTGACATATTTGACCCCTGTGACCTTGAAAACAGGTCAAGGTCATTTTCGTTCTCAAACTTTGTAGGGCTCCTACCAACGAAGCTTTCAGCCAAATATCATGACTCCAGGCCTGTCCGTTCTTCAGAAGAAGTTGTTTAAAGGAAAAGTTGACGGACGAGGACGGACGGACAGACGGACAGACGGACGGACAACGGACGCCGCGCCACGGCATAAGCTCACTTGGCACTTCGTGCCAGGTGAGCTAACAAATGAACAAAATATTACTTTATCAGTTTGTATTATTTCTTTCCATGTTTCCATATCAATCTATGTCTAATTAATATAGGGCATCTCACTTCCGGTTCAGACGACATAAAAATGATCGAAATTAGCTTGATCGGTTATTATATTATTAAACAGAATATCCTAATAAGCGGGTTCCACTGTATTTGTGTATAATTATATCTCTCCTTTCTTTAGCTTAGGAAACTCTGACTGCATATAACTTCATTGTATCGCACAGGGTGTTGGATTGATTATATCTGCGTACAAACAGATGTATGTGGGATCACGGTATCCACATATAACAAATACATGTACATTCAGGGTATCCCTATAGATATATCTTAATAAAAAAATGTGCTTAAATAAAGTCTCAATACTGGATTTTTTATTTATTGATGTAAACAGTTTAAATAACGTTTAGATAACATCAATATACACAATCCAGATTACCCTATATGTAAATAATAGATAAACACAGAAATAACACTATGTACTTTAAGCTATCTGCGATCAATTTTAATGTAAATGTTCACATAAATAGATATTGTGGATATCTTGTAAATCTAATAAAAAGAACTGTCAAAGAACAGCATATATAAATAACACATTTAAAGTATCAAGTGAATATCAATAGAAATGTAATTTCAGTGTGATAAACAAGTACTGTAATTTTGGCCAATACATTTTTATTTGCATGCAGCTTACCATAAGATATATTGACTTGAATAAACAAATGTTGTAACACTATTTATATACATGTTCATCCTAAAATACGAATAAATTATCAATGCATAGTGAAACAGACTTTTAAATGAATACAATGAAATGGCATATTAGCTTTCCATAAGTAATCAATCATAAAATAAAAGGGCACATTGACAACACTGTATTTTTTCTGTTTGAACTGAGTGGAGGCCTGTGGTAGTGTTAGCAGTAAACCAATTAAAGCCTTACCACCGGTGTTGTTCTAGTTAATTGATATAAACAATGTTCAGTCCTTTTTTTTGTGAAAAAATCAATCAAGATTTTTTTCCGATGGATCATGGTTTGACTAAGACGTAAAAACTTTCAAGAGCTACAGAGATATGGAGCGGACCTGAATATTGATAAAACAAGAGGCCCATGGGCCTTAACGGTCACCTGAGTCTATAGTATTTATTTTTGTTGTTGAAATATGTACCAATTTGAGTAAAAAATAGTATAANCTATATACCTAGGTATTTAAAAACATATTCACTGAATTTTGTACATTCTGGCGAGTGTTACCTTATTCATTTCCCTTTCAGTTTTTACTTATTTGATGGTCATCATGATTTTTCTTTTCCAACAATACTAACTAAACTGAGTATCAGTCTGTACCATAGGCACTAACCTAACATCTAGTGGTAAATGCAAATGCTTTAAGTAAACATACTGAGGGTATAACATGACACATTGTTCTCTCTCTAAATGCACAAAGAATACTGTACTTACCAATTTTGACTGGATCCTTCTTGGGTAAAAACATTGATAATAGGTTTTCTGGTATTTGTATGATTGTCTGCTGATCAGCACCTTCAAGTCCTCCACTTTTACCTGTCAACAACAACACAGTGACACAATAACAATGAGAACATCACATATTAATTCCAAAGGTCAATGATAATGTGGATAACCCTCCAAGATGGCATAATATTCTGTTAATAGAAAAAGTTGAAATTACATAACTCGCTAAAATTTTGAATCCAATATTGTTGTTAATGTCAGGTTATATAAAACTATTCATCCAGTGTTGGTCGATGGTTCTCGCATGATCTCTCATCACATAACCATCCAGTGTTGGCCGATGGTTCTCGCATGATATCTCATCACATACCCATCCAGTGTTGGTCGATGGTTCTCGCATGATTTCCCATCACATAACCATCCAGTGTTGGTCAATGGTTCTCGCATGATATCTCATCACATAACCATCCAGTCCTGGTCGATGGTTCTCGCATGATATCTCATCACATAACCATCCAGTGTTGGACGATGGTTCTCGCATGATCTCTCATCACATACCCATCCAGTGTTGGTCGATGGTTCTCGCATGAGCTCTCATCACATAACCATCCAGTGTTGGACGATGGTTCTCGCATGATCTCTCATCACATACCCATCCAGTGTTGGTCGATGGTTCTCGCATGATCTCTCATCACATAACCATCCAGTGTTGGACGATGGTTCTCGCATGATCTCTCATCACATACCCATCCAGTGTTGGTCGATGGTTCTCGCATGATATATCATCACATAACCATCCAGTGTTGGTCTATGGTTCTCGCATGATCTCTCATCACATACCCATCCAGTGTTGGTCGATGGTTCTCGCATGAGCTCTCATCACATAACCATCCAGTGTTGGCCGATGGTTCTCGCATGATATCTCATCACATAACCATCCAGTGTTGGACGATGGTTCTCGCATGATCTCTCATCACATACCCATCCAGTGTTGGTCGATGGTTCTCGCATGAGCTCTCATCACATAACCATCCAGTGTTGGCCGATGGTTCTCGCATGATATCTCATCACATAACCATCCAGTTTGATCATTACAAATTCTGTTTGATCATTACAAATCCTGTTTGATCATTAAAACAATGAAAAAAATGTATTCTACGGACAAGTTAACTTCAGTGCCTTGTCATCATCTCTGGAAAGTGTAAAGATGTTTGACCCATAACGATACAACCTCATCTAACTCTCACTCAATCAAAAGGAAGAAGATGGAAGAAAAGTCAAACATTCATGCTTAGCAATGGGTGTGCTCCATTTGTAAGTTTGTTGATACATGTGTAGGGGATGTACTTGCCACATAACAGGGACATCAAAGTATCACCAATTTTGTGCAAACTAATGGATTGTCAGGATAATCATACCAGAGCCATACTCGATATCCAGGGGTTACGCTCACTTTTGCTCTCCGTACCCCTGGAATATGTCATAGCAAAAATGAAGGCTCAGTGTGCGCCTTGTTGATGAAACAAGAAGATTAGTTCGATCCTTCAAGTCGGGCGTCTCTCCTTTGTAATCTACAAAGGACAGGTATCAGCCTAGCGATTGGTCAGTTGTTTTTTACCTGAGACCAATCAAACAGCTATCTTCCTGCCTTAAATTTTGATATGACATATTGCAGGGGTAAAGAGAGCGAATAAAATGTATAATTGAGAATATAATGTATGATTGAGAATATAATGTATGATTGAGAATATAATGTATAATTGAGAATATAAGGTATAATTGAGAATATAATGTATAATTGAGAATATAATGTATGATTTCCAAATGCAACAGGTCACTTCACTGGTCAATATATAGATAAAGAAGGACATCACATGTCCTTTATAAGCATGAAGCATGCCATGGTATCCACCTCCTGTATTGGGTTCTGTCTATATGGCTTTGTTTTATAATATAAAAACATCTGATGGTTATTGTACTTACCACTAGCCTCTGATCTTGCGATAGATAATGTCACTCCAGCTTCTGCTGAGGCAGCAACATCTGCCAGGGTGCTGTCTTCTGTATAGTGGGAAACAATTCAGCAGTTATAAAACAATCTTAGGGATGATGTTGTGAGGAAAACACTATGCTACTGGTCTAAGGGTAGATAACTCCTTATATTTTTTTTATCAGGCAACCCGTATTCAACTACTATTTTACTGATCTTTTACAATAAATTGTGAAAGTTACTCTACATCATTATACGCCTGTAAAATTTCATACTCGTGTTGCAGTTATGATTTAGAAGAAATCAAATTTTAAATAAAACATAATTCAATACAATGTGGGAATAATAAATGTGACCACCGATACACATTTCATCATTGAAATAGAAACATGTAAGATTTTCAAAAGTCTCTCTTTTTTTGGTGGAAAATAACAGTTTCAAATTGAGAATCATTCCTTTTACTATATTACAATACCTTTATATTGTAATCAGAACATTAATTTTTGAATCCTTTATTGAAGTTTTGACCTCATATTTCCTGTACAGGGGAGTGTATATATTTTCTAACATAATTTCATATATTAAAAGCTAGAAGATCAAGATACAGTTGAGTGTTGTTTCTGGGATGATGTATTCTCTACCTGAACCTCATATCTGCTATTATCCAATGCTTAGATAAAGATCAGTGTTTTTTTAAGGTGGATCTTGGGCCCCTTCCCAAATTGATTTCTGGTCTTTTTTCCAAAAAGCATGCAGAAATAGCTTCCCCCCCCTCCCCCTAAATCATGCTTTTTGCATGCAATATCTCCACAAGTCACAATGCACAGCTCCTGCCAAAAAGAGGTAAAAAAAAATTACTGTTGATATAGTTATTTATGGAACAAAAGATTCTTGACCTTCCTTCTTCATATACTAACCTGTATCCAGAGAGAGGTCAGATTCGTTGAGTATGACCTCTTGGGAGCTGTTTTCCTCATCCCCTACTTCCTCTGGGCGAGCCACAAGATTTGGTAGTGACCTCACCTGCTCCTGGAATGCCTGCAGGTTGGACAATCCCTGTAGAAATATCAACATAACCTTATAATGTTACCCCGTTGCAGTCATATCTGTGTTTTTTTACTTAAACATGTTTTCCTTTCTCTTAGCTATTTCCATATTAATTCTGATTGCAGTTGCACAAATAACAATTCATACACATCAACTATGTCACTATTTAAATGGAAATTCTTAAGTCATATATATATTTCTAGATAGGCTTTATTACTACATGTAGTGATGAAAATAAATTTCAATATTATAAATGAGGTTGTTCTATGTCAGGATATCTATAATTGCTGATGGCTGTGAATGGAACAATTCTATAACATGGTTGTATTGAAAGGTAGGGTCAACGTCTATGGGGATTTAACACTAGCGCCGGCCCCCGCTTGGAATTTCAAACCAGAAAATGTTTGTAAGACATAAATGCCCCTGTGAAATTAGTTTCAGTGTTGTATAACAAGTTACAACTACTTTGATCTTGATACCATGAAACATACCCACACACAAGGTACTACACTTAAAGTTGATTTTAATATTCATATGTTTTTTCTGTATGTTATTATCATCTCCATAACATATTGAATGAAGTTGCTAAGTGTTTAAATTGAATCAGTAGCTGATTTTCTATATACAGTAACAGTGACCTTGGCCTTGACCTTGGAACCCAGAAACACAACAATGTCCGAAGTTTACTTATACTTGACCTTTGCATAAAGTTTGACCAAAATCCATGAAAGAATGAAGTTGCTAAGTGTTTACATTGAATCTGGATGGGAAGTGACAATTTTCTATATATAGCAAGTGTGACCTTGGCCTTGACCTTGGATCTCTGAAATACAATGATGTCCGAAGTATAATCATACTTGACCTTTGTATAAAGTTTGACCAAAATCTGTCAAAGAATGAAGTTGCTAAGTGTTTACATTGAATCTGGACAGGACGGGACGTGACAGGATGGACATGGGCAACACTATATGCCCCCCCCCCCCCCCCATTTTATGGCGGGGGCATAAAAATGACAAATCCAAAAAGATATGGGTATAGGAAGCTTAAATCAGGAACAGTTAGTTTCAGAATTTATTTTACGATAAATGGGACCTAATTGATTTACACCTGTGTGGGTGTTAAAGGTGCGGTAATACAATTAATCCTAGAGCATTTAAATGACACAGTTACTATAAAATTATATCATCATCATGTGCAACATATTCCAACTGTTATTTTGATACCAAATATTACACTATTTCAAGAAAGAACTGTCCTTTTTATTAAAGATATAGGTAGAAAAATATGTAAAATTTCATTACTAATGAGAAAATTTCCATTTTTGACACGTCAATTTACTGTTCTAAAACAAGTCTATTTTTCATACTTGCTTAAAAGTTGGCTTCCAATAATATCTTTCAACATCAGACATTTCAAAAACAAGAATTCCACGGAAGTGGATGTGTCGCCTGCGCAGGAAGCTGGGAGATTACGAAGAAATAGATACACTTTTCATTTCAAGAAATAATGTTAAAAGTAAGCAATAATCATAGATTATGATTTTGAATGGCATCATTTTGTTATATAATCTGTTATTCTGGGAAGAATACACAAAGGAACTTGCTATCGATACTCATTGTCTCAATTCCAAGTTTAATTTGTATGATTTGTCGGATGGTTTCCCATAAATAAATGAATAAACTTGTGGATTATGATGTTAAACAGCTCGTGTTGTCAATAACATTTGGAGTAAGACGGCATTTCAGAGGTATACACGGTGGGTCAAGTGGTAGATCGAAGCCGTCCAGTATACAGTTTTAGTGAAGTTTCTATTTATAGTAACAGTTGACCTTTGACCTTCGGACCTGAAAAGCAATCCCAAGCAAGCAGTTTTGGTAAGTAAGCACTGCATGAAGATTGAGTTTGATCGGCCCAAGGAAACTCAAGTTATCGCACGAAAACCTCTGTTCGGACGACGCCGCCGCCGACGCTGCCGACGCCGACAAAGCAATACCTATGTGTCACCAGCTTTTCGAAGGCGACACAAAAAGAAAAACATAGCTTTCTTTTCACTTTTCCTTTAACTTGTGTTCGTTCGTGGCCAAAGGTCCTTGGATCTTGATATTTGGCAAGTAGGTTGTTCATGTCAATGGATTTTAGTTTTGTAAACGTTGATGAGCTTGACTTTCGTTCAAGGTCACAAAAATCAAATGTGCTAAAATAACATTTTTGTAAGGGGAGTCAGACAAGGATATCTTTTCTTGTTTTATAAATTATTTGTTTAGAGTTAGCGATATAAAAGGATATTCCTTCAAATTTTGTTTAATGAATATAAAATAATAACTAGAACTGTAAGCTAAAGGCTAACTAATACCCCTGCTCCTATATAAACTAGAACTGTAAGCTAAAGGTTACTTAGACACAGCATTGCAAAGCAATTTATAGTCTCCCATCAGTAATAATTTAAGTATATAGGTCACTGACATACTTCCTGTACTCCTCCCCATGCCAAAACATACGTGCAAACCAAATCTTATTAGCCCAAATGAACCAGGTTTGCCGAATTCCTTCTAGTGGTTAAGGAAGAGTTGTAAATACAAAGATTTTTAACAAAAGGTCATAACTCCTTAAAAACGGTCGAAATGAAAAAATACCATCTTTTTTGACAGAGTGTAAATCTCTATGTGAGCCAGCATGATTGTCTGAAGTTTGACTGACAGAGTGTAAACCTCTATGTGAGCCATCATGATAGTATGAAGTTTGACCGACAGAGTGTAAATCTCTATGTGAGCCATCATGATAGTGTGAAGTTTGACTGACAGAGTGTAAACCTCTATGTGAGCCATCATGATAGTATGAAGTTTGACTGTTCCAGTCCTTACCTGTGTGCACGCCATCATGATTGTCTGAAGTTTGACAATCCTGGTACTTACCTGTATTGGGGCCATCATGATTGTCTGAAGTTTGACAATCCTGGTACTTACCTGTTTTGGGGCCATCATGATTGTCTGAAGTTTGACAATCCTGGTCCTTACCTGTATTGGGACCATCATGATTGTCTGAAGTTTGACAATCCTGGTACTTACCTGTATTGGGGCCATCATGATGGTCTGGCCGTTAGCTCCAGGAATAATGACTGCTGGGATCTGTGTGTTGGAGTTGACCTGCCCAGGGGGCGGGTATCTCCGTGGTCGACCACGCCCTCTTTTTACACCTGGAACAGTAACACAATGAAGGGTTACATCATACAATTGTAGTGATCAGGTAAAGGATACCCAGTTATGATATGATTAACTGGTATGTTACCAAATAATGGCATCAAATTGGCTTTGGTCCATATACATTTTTAGGTGCATGATCAGTCCATAAATTGCAATATGTTCAGTATTGTTAAATATTTGATGACACAAATAGCTGAGCAATGTGAATATGTTGGCAGAACCATGTTTATTTGGAGTGTAACAGAAGAGGATGATGATGTCAGTACATGGTGATACCAAGGTTGCCTGCTGTATCCCTGGTTATTTGGGGAAACCGTTAATGGATCAAGATGGAATAAACCTAGCAAGACAGCTGGGCAATTATATTCACACTGTCTCAATACATTCAGTTTTATATATCAAAAATTATCGAATTAACTGTGATTAAACAACTTTGGTTTCATACATGTAGCTATAGGGTAATTTTGTTACATGTTTAATAGTTTCAAAAGACATTTCATATCCTGAATAATATAGCAATAATCACAACTTAAAAAAAAAAAACCAATTAGAATATAAACACATGATGCATTCTGCAAGATAAATTAACCAAGAAAAACAAACCATGATATATGCTTCAATGTCACTAAGACTGCTAATGGTAATGTAGTGTCATTACTAATGAGAATCACAGAGAAAGCATGCAAACTCACAGATGTCAGTTTTACTTATCTTGGTAAACTGGTGTCTAATGATTCAGGAGTGATTGCAACACCGAGATGGATTGAGATTATCAACTCCACAAACCTTTAGGGGGTTGTTGCAATGAAGTATACAAGTAGTTGATTGCTAGTTGAGAAACAATGGATCCTGTCAATCTAACTATTGCAGAAAGGTATTCAAGTATGAGAAAGGAGCACTCCAGTCTAACATCTGTTCCTCGGTAGGGGGCTCCAGGTTTGTTGGGTACTACCACCTGATTAATCGAACCAATAACTTTCATAGAAGTAAAAGGCAGAAACGCAGCCAAGGACAGAAGAAATGTATATTGGAGTTATAGAAACCTGGAGTGTTTTACTAAATAGTCGTAGTTTTTTTTAAACCTTAGTGTTGAGATCAAAGACGTCTATATGGATTACCTGTGGTTGGCATCAAGTAAGGTGTCAATGGAACATAGTTTTTGTCGTCAATTTTTTGCTTTTTCATCTCACTTTCCTCGTCTTCCTCTCCAGAATCGCCGGATAATTCTAACACCTCATAGTCTAAAACATTAAAATAAAAAGTCCCGATTTAACTGAACATATACCAAATAACCAACAGTGGGTTAGGCTTTAGCAGAGCATGCTGCAGGGGAATTCAAATTTGGCTTGATAAAATTCAACATGTTTTTATTGGTTTTTGAGGACTAGATTTTAAATAGTTGATCTATATGTATTATGTATTACATTAGTGTTGTTATTTTTTTATGATGAAAGATTTTTTTTAAATAATATTTTTTTTCTTTCCTCCCTAGTTTTTGTCAAGTACTTCCATATAAATTATGTCAAAAGAAACAAGAAATTTGTTTTTGTGAATAAAAACATATGTCTCCCCTTATTAGCCAATATGCACATTTGGAAAAATAGAATGGTCACATCATGATTAAGGTGTGTAAATTCTAAACCATTAAACTTTTAAGTTATCAGACAAACTTTGGTATAAAAAATTAACAAAGGGCCATATCTCTTTATATAACGAGGCACGAGACCGATTTCATTACTCTACTCTTCGCCTTCCCAAGATACATAAATATAGCAAGTTTGGTCAACGTAGGGGAAATAACATGGAACTTATGCTCCAGACAAACTTTGGTATTAAAAACAAACAAAGGGCCTAAACTCTGTATATAGTGGGGAACGAGATCTAATTGCAATGCACTGCACACCTTCTGTTGGTGATGCAGGTATACTTGAAGTTTAATCAGGATATCTTTAACAGTTAAAATTTACGGGCCAGACAAGATTTTACTGAAAAAGTTGCAGTTATTTGACCTTTGACCTTGAGGTGAAGGTCACAGTGACCTAATTCCAGTGCACTGCACACCTTCTGTGGGTGATGCAGGCATACCTCAAGTTTCATCAAGACATCTTTAACAGTTTAAAATGTATGACCCGAACAAGTTGCGATTAGAAGAAACAGAAGAATCAGTACTAATACAATATGTCTCCCTTTCTTCGAAGGGGAGTACACAAAAAAATCACATCAATCGCATTATTCTTTTTTCCCCCCCATAAAATAAGAAGGAATGTATACTTCAAAATTAACTTGATTTTTTTCTCCATAAAATTTCCAGGATGATTTTGAAAAAGTCATGAACTTTTTTTTTCTTTTCTGGTTTTGCAGGCCTTTCTAGCTATATATGACCCATTAAAATTTTGCAGAATACCAGCAATCTAACCACAAAATTGAATGGCTCCTTAATAATTCTATATATATCTACCATATCTAAAATAATGCTAGCGCTCTCAGTACATCGTCACATTCACAGCTGGTGATCAAATCAGGATGCCTTTCCCTCATGAACTTGCAGGCAGTTGTTGTCCAGGAAACAAGTGATCGAGTCCAGGGAGTTAGTCCTCCCACTCCTTTCCTTCAGTAGTTAATGTAATATCGTGGAACTGATGAAGATGATCAGCTGAGAGGTAAACAGTTTGTATTTGACCTTGACCCTTAATTCATTTCTCGATTCAGACAACAGCCCAGACAAAAGTGAAACCGTAGTTCCAGCTTGAAATAAGATTGATTTAAATGTTGCATTGGTGCCGATTGTCCAGCTATAAATATAATAAAACTGAAAGTACAAGGTTTACTGTCTTCAGTGAAAACTCTTGATGAAAGAGATTTGGTCATGGAAAACCAAACTTACTACATCCCTCAAGCTGCCCATATTTAACACTAAAATAAATTTATCTAATATTACTTTTGAATATCAAAGTATGTAAAATAATGGAAATGTCTATTGTCTACAAACCATTCAATGCTGAGGCCTGCTTCCTTACTCTTCCACTCCTCCTTATCCCATCAGGATCTGGAATAAAAAGTCAAATATCTAATTAACCAAGGGCAAATATTTCAGTAAAGCTGACAGTACAAGTTAAAAAGCTTTCAATTGAGATTTTCTAGTTTTGAGATCTTCCCCATCTCTTCCTTCTAACGTTTCTAAGGAAGTGCTGACATTTTAGTTTGGTAATGAGTATGGGTATCGCTGGGTATAAAAAGAGCATTACCTGTCAAACTGGTTATCATTTGCTCAATATGTGCACAAGGTGACATTACTTTACTATTTATATATGTATAACACTTTAATGATTTTAACCAACATTTTGTATCAGATCAGTTGTATAAAATTGAAATGGAACACATAAAAGATATCATTTATCTAAGAACAGTGGAAATAGTAGTAAAATATGACCAATTAAATCATCTAATGCACAATCCCTGCCCCCTCACCCAAAAAATGGCCCTGAAAGAAGCAAACATATGACGAACGCTAATACCTACCTGTTATAACCTCCTGTGTGAAAACAATACTAATTCCAATCATTTCCATGAGAACGGTTCAATGATCAAGTTTCACATTGTTGACTACACTCCTGCGAGTGTCGCATTTTGCACATGTTTTGCTAGTAAAGTGTCTACACGACGAAGACTAATAGTTTTTAATGAAGTTTTCGTGTGTTGGTGCAGTTCTATATGCACGAGAAAGACCGTTATTATATATGGGATTTATAGAAGTATGTTCAGTAATATACCTTAAATTACCTTTTAATTTGGATACACAGTTTTCAAGAATGTGCCATGAGTAACAACCAGCTTGGCAGTGTTTCAAAGTCTTCAGGTGATGAGTGTGTTTGATTTTTGATATCGTTTGCCGATCAGGGTGCGTGGTGCATTGAATTGCAAGACAGTCAGTTGTAATTGATAACCGGTTTGACAGGTAATGCACTTTTCATACCAAGCCAGACCCATACTCGTTACCAAGCAAGAAAAAAACTAAAATATATGTCGGCACTTCCTTAGAAAAGATAGTCAGAAGATATGGGGAAGATCTCAAAACCAGTAAAAAAATGAAATTATTTCTTTTTTTAATCTCAATTGAAAGCTTTTTAACTTGCACTGTCAGCTTAAAGCAGAGGTCAATAACCAAAATAATAGTTCAATCTTATGGAATATTAAATTTGGTAGTTGAGAACATTCTATTTCAAAGCCATGCTATGCTTATCAAGAACTGATTTATATCTATATCTAGCTTCTGTGTATATCACATTATAAAGCCTATATGTATCCATGTCTATCTATAGCATAGTCATGCTAGCTTCAGTAAAAAAAAAATAATCAAAATCTTTGTACAGTAAGTGTATCCTACCAGTATTTCCCAGTTCCAGCAGTCCTTCTGCAGCACTGTTTTGGTCCTTGTCCTGGGGAGGCATGGCCTTGATCAGGGGCAATGTTCCCTTGGCGAAATCAGAGCGTCCATCTTGCTTGTGGTCTTTACGCGGACGCCCTCTCTTTTTCTTTCCTGAAAACAAATTCAGATCTTGTGGTTTGCAAACACAGGAACCATTTGCAGTAATACAAATGAATACATGAACTAAATTGTAATAAATTATCGATTAATATAATAGGAACTTGATACATGTGTGTATACATAACATGTATATGATGGAAAAGTTCTCCTATTCAATAATTGCTGTATAAACCTAGAGCATATCTATAGGACAACCATAATCATCTTTTTCCTTTAAATTTCCCATGCAGAAAGTGATTCAACATTTGATGAATATTTAAACTTCCGCTACTGGCAAACACCACATGTACAGGTGTGAAACAGGTAAAAGTGATTTCTAAACAAGGTCTGACTATCTACCATTCCTCCTTACAGCTGTGTTAAATCTACAACCAGACTGGGGCGACTGTCTACTATACATATGATTAGTGTTATCACGTGCACGCTATTCTAATGACAGAAAATGCAGAAGTTCAACAGCTCGATTAGGAATTAAAGGGTATGAGCCATGATTCATTTTATTTTGGACTGTCCAAATAGAAGTAAGAAATTTATAATTAACAGATGATAGAGATAAGGTTTAGTTTATTAAAGAACAAGGAAATACCATTGTGTTTTAGCCTTCCTGTTCATAATGTGTTAGTTGTAAATTCCGGTCCAAGGGAAGTAACTCTTTTTCATTTCAACTTTGATAATCTTTTTACATACAAAAACAATTCATAAACACTATACCATACCAGGAGGTGGCAGCACTGGGTAGGCACACAGCTCCCCTGTGGTAGGATTAGCCATCAAAATGCACTTCTTCCCATTTATCACAACCTCAGTACTGTTTGTCACGGCAATCGGCTTTGATAGATCAAGTTGTTTACCATCGTCCTTTGATTGTGGTTCAACATCAGTCTGAATGGCTTCAGTGGGTGTACCATCTGCTTGGAGAGGCTCTATATAGATATTTGCAGAAGGTGCACTCACTGTTGGTTCGACCTCTGACATCTGACTGACCTCTGAGTTCTGAGTAACCTCTGACCCCTCTAGGAGAGCAGAAACTTGAACTGAATGTATTTCTTGTGGTTCTGAAGTATCTTCATTTTCCAAATTTTCAAGGACAACTGAAATCAAAGGATATAAGTTGTGATCAGAGAATTTATTTCCTGAATTATTCAGTTCCTGATAAATTACAGTAAATAACTATAATCAAGGATGTATTACCAATATACATTATCCCTATAAAAAATCCATATTTTCACAGGACACCATATGGGCCTAGCAAAACAGGAAAGCAGAAAAATTAAACCAGTATTTTTTTCCCCGATACTCCTCTTGTTTCCAGTATGTTGGGGAAAAAATTACTCAATTTCATAATTCAGTTCTCTTGCTTATTGACACAAACAATATCCATTGCCTCTGGATCTCCATAATTTTACTTACATGTTTAATGTATATTGAAAATATTGCAGAGCTCCTGCTATATGTTTAATATGAAAAGAAGCGTAAGCAAGTGTCATTAAAGTCTATGTGCTCCACATTGATATATTCCACCCCCATCTTATGATTACACCAGGTTAATGCTTGACTTTATAAATCCCTAGAAAAAACATGACCTCATTACCATGGTATGTTAGACAATAAAAATTCCTTAGAAAAATAAACTTTCCAGACATTTAGAAGGAGTAACCTTGAGATTCTGTTTCTATTTACCTTGTGGCTGTACAGACTGCTGTAACAAAGAAATTTGATTAGGCTGTTTGTCTGCAGTCTGAACAGTCTGTAGTGTCTGTTGAACTGTTGGTGGAAGTGTGTGCACCTCTGTTACAATCCCTGACGACTGCTGTCCATTAGCCTCTGTTACAATCCCTGACGACTGCTGTCCATTAGCCTCTGTTACAATCCCTGACGACTGCTGTCCATTAGCCTCTGCGACAGTTGTAGCCGACTCTAGTATGTTGGTCTCCGACTGCAATACTTGAGCCTGTGTTACCATTGAGGATGGTTGTAACAGATTTGCCTCAGACTGTAGTGCTTGAACTTGTGTGACAATTGTAGAAGAACCTAATAGGTTTGCCTCTGACCGCAGTACTTGGGCTTGTGTGACTATGGAGGTGGGGTGTAGAAATTGGGTCTCTGTTACAATGGGCTGTTCCTCGTTGGGATTATACACCTGGTACACTTGTTCCCCACCTTCCATGTGTGACTGTTGGATGTTTATCAGCTGAATAGTACCATTCTGTTGTTCTAAATCAGTTCCATTTCCAATCGCTTGTACTTGTATTGCCTCATCTCCTGAGACCAGCTCCCCAGACCCCGATGTCTCTGTTCCATATCCTGGAAAATATAGGTTATATATATATATATATATATAAAGTGTATGTTATTTAATGGATGAAGTTTTTAACATTACACAATGTATCTTTTATAGCTCCAGTTTTATACTTTTGGAAAATGAAAATATACTTTTGGAAAATGAAAACTGAGTCTCATTTTCAATCAAATCATTTCAAGGGCCCCAAACTGAGCTGTTACTAATTACCAGTGTATACACTGATGTTAAGTAATGACACCAGAGGTCCAGTACATCCAAGTTACCTGTTCAAGTCTCTACTTTTACAGTGATGATCTGATGATTATAAGAACTGCATGAAATTAAAATTTTACAAATGACACTTATTTATTATGACAAAGGACATGTGCATTCATGTGAAGGATATTTGTCAACAACCATCTCTCTTTCTGAACGGAATTATTTAGATTTATGTCCTATGCATAAATCACATTATCAGAGGCAAATGGCACTTGGTGGTGTGCGAATTGGTCCTAGTCGGTCACTAGAGTTACCGCCCTTGTTCCAGGTTACACTAGACGAGCCAAGATAGACAACAAGGACGAGCAGAATTCCAGTCGGGTAATCTTGAGCATCCATATAAATTGATGTTAAAATAGTGATGCACCATACATAAAGGAAATCAGTATTATCATTGTTGAAGTTTCCATGATTGATGATTGGAAACAAGTGTTTGATTTGTTGAATTGTATTGACTTGATATCAGAGGATGTCTGTACCCAGGATCCTCTTGATAGCATTGCATTGTGTGTTGTGGTACGCCAACTGCGGTGTACACTTTGTATGTATTATTAAATACTGTGGCCAAGATCTTCCAAATACGTTGTTGTTAAATCATTTATTGTGTGATTGAGTCATTGATCTATGATAATGCACCTTAGCAGCAACACAATGTATCTACAAAATGAGATTCATTTGATATAAAGATATAATTGCCAAGCTTAGTTGGACTCCATTATTCATTGAGAGTAGCTAGAAGACTTGACACTAAGCTTTCATGAATTATTCAAGAACCATAATTATTATTTATAACTCTGTTTGTAACTGTAGAAAACAACATTGGAGACACAAATGACCAGGATTATATTTTTGAGATTGTGGAATATGATTTTGGCATAGGGAAAGGGGCAAAATTATTCAGACCCTATTCCTGCCCCTATATATATACAAGTGATTTGTATTTATTTTGCTTACGGTTTACAGACATATATACAGGCTGCCTCCCTCAGGCTCAGGTAATATCTTCGATTCCCTATTGCAATAAAATATTGTCATATTTTCTCAATTCCTGTAGGAACAAGCTGTTGTAAAATTTCATTGTTCAGATCGTAAACACAAAAGGATGGGCATGCGCAACAGGCAAAACCTATGAACGTCCTCTGCTCTACCTTTAGTTTGCTGAGAGGGGTATATAAATATGAACACTGTGAAGTTCAATACAGACATATCTTATTATATTATTATATATCAGTTATTCTAATATGTACCTTCTTTCACCAGCATGCACCCTTCACAACTTACCAACAATGTCATCACCAGACTGTATGACAGTTATACCAACAGCATCCATGGCACCTCCCTCGGACATAAGTGTGCCATCGGTGGAGATCTGGGCCCCCTCTTGGGTGAGAATATGGTAGGTACCTGGGGGAATGTGTACGGTACCAGACCCATCCATTGGGATACCCTGCTCCTGGAGGATAATCTGGGCTGCATCCTCGAGGCTGATTGTGATTGTCTCTGTGTTCTCCAAGTCCTGAATGACACCTTCCATTCATCTTAAATTTAAAAACATGTAGCAAGTGATAAGTAAAATGTGTCAATCATCTGATAGTTTATCAAGTCAAGCAGAAAGTATACATGCTTTTATAAAAAAGGTTTTTATAATACACATTATTTTTTAACCAGCATTTCTGGAATTTTAGATTGGGAGCAAATGTAATTACCTGGTTTACAAGTTGCCATTGGGAATATGTGCTACCACATTTGGCTCATAATACCACCCAAGGAAACACTTGTGATAACAATGTCGGGTATTTATTGTAAACATTTTCGTAGTCAATGATTCAGATTCTCCAAAGCCGATTTAGTATATAGGGGACAGCTAGTTTTTCACCTCGGTGATACAATCTTAGGATGCAGGATATACCTACAGTTGTTCTACCATTCTAGTTCTACCATATAGTGACCACCTTCAACTAATTGAAGATTTTGTCACCAAATTGGGTTTATGCAGCACAAATGACAGACTATATAAATTACATAATGATTAGTAATTATCCACTTAGTTAAAGTTAAGAGACAGAAAATTTAATTCAAGGAGAGTCCGAGAGAGAGTTCGTAGCAAGTCAGTGATTGAGCAACCCGGCCCCAACCTACAAAAGCTTGTTCGGAAAAGGGGGAAAAGAAGAGAAGTGGTTACTACGTAAAGTCTGTTGAAGTAACTGATTACTCTAGATCTGCATCTTCAATCTTATAGGTGTGCCTGGAAAGAGATGTTTTGAAAGTGGGTGTAATTAAACGATGTCAGATGGTTATTTGTTCCATTCTAGTATGGTACGAGGAAAAAAAGGATAGTTGTCTAGTTAGTGTTTTCAAGTATTGCTGTTGTGGTAATTGACCTGGTGGAAATTTCTAGGAATTTTTCTGGCTCGCAGAATCCTGTCAGTCGTGGATCATATGGCCAGTGCCCTGATGAATTTTATAAAACATCTTTGGTGTGTATCTTTCATACAATCTGACAGGCTGTGCCAGTCAAGAGTACCAATCATATCTGTTACACTAGAGGTATTCCGAAAGCGATTGGACACATATCGGGCTCCTCCCCTCTGGACCATTTCTATTTTGTTGATGTTATTTTTTATATATGGATCCCAAACAGGGAAAGCATATTCTAAAGAAGGTCGAACCAAAGATTTGTAAGCCTGTTCTTTAAATGTTGTTGAGCTTATTTTAAGGTTTCTTCTGAGAAATCCTAGGGTAGAATTTGCCTTGTTGCAAATCTGATCGACATGAAAGTCCCATTTCAAATCTGATCTGAGGGTTACTCCTAGGTATTTCACAGAATCAACATGTTTTCATACATGGCCATGAAGAGAATAATAAAAAATGACAGGGGATTTTTTTCTTAGAAATTGTGAGAGTATATAACACTTATCAGGGTGGAAAGCCATTAGACATTTTTTCTCCCAAATGGCCTGTTTGTCTAGGTCTGGTCAGACTGTAGGGTCCTGGCATCTTTTTCCGACGTAATTGTCAGATATATGATGGTATCATCCGCAAACAGTCTGACCGTGGAGTTCAAGTCAATTGGCATGTCCTTAATATAAAATAGGAACAGATTAGGCCCCAGTACAAATCCCTGGGGGACGCCGGATAAAACTGGTACATACTCAGATTTGACGCCTTCAACAAATACTGATTGGGTTCTATTGGGGGAAATTTGATATCCAAGATGTTGTTTTATCATCTATACCATAATGACTGAGTTTGTTGGTAAGAAGCTTAAGAGAGTGGCTGACTTTATCAAATGCTTTGGAGAAATCCATAACCATGCAATATATCTGATTGTTTTGAGTTGTCAAGAGCTTTGGTAATATTGTCAACAAATTCTAAAAGTTGTTTCACAGGATCTGAATTTTCGAAAACCATGTTGGTGAGGATACATAATATTGGGACGATCTGAATGCAACATGATGTGTGACACTATGACATGTTCCATTATTTTACAACAAAGTAAGTGAGTGAGAGATTGATAGGTCTGTAATTTACAGGATCATATTTTCTTCTTCCAGTCTAAGGGACAGACGACTCAAAGGTTTGAGTACAATTGTCCCTGATGGCCATGGAACAAGACAATTTGGCCTTTTTTAAATATTGGAGCAATATGGGTGTTTTCCAATCTTGAGGAACAGTGCTAGATTGTAGCAGAGACATATAAATCAATATCTCTGTAGTATATATACGTCTCTGATTGTAGGGACGAGTTGAATATTACACTAAAAATGGTGTCAATTTCACTCAGCCAATTAATTCCTTCAAAACTTTTGCTTTGGACTTATCAAGATTTTTAATAGTTTTTGGATACCATTTGGGATAATGATGAGGGTATCCATGGCTGATCTGGATCAATATAATATTTTCTTGAGCAAAGAGTACACATTGTAAAGTCTCTATAGAAGTAAATTATTAGGTGGAAACACTATATATATATATATATATCTTTTCATTTTCAGCATCATTTCTTCTCTCTCTTTTATATTCTTTCTATTACTCACACCTTGACATGATCTTCAGCTTGATGAAGGTGGTCAGTATTTTGTATTCACATATTCAGTAGATATACAGTATAGGTCCTACAGGAATTATGTGACATAATTACGATACATTTGTTCTTTCAACATGGATGAAGTGAACATTGGATGCATGAAGTTGAACTGTAAAAGCTGCAGCTCAAACTCAGGTCACGTGACCCGTGCCATAATATGCATAGTGGCTAAAATAAGTCGGAGAGTCCTCGTAGCTACGTATTTGTTGTCGAAGCTTCACGATTTCGAAAATGGCGCCTTCGTCATTGGACCGCGGCAACGCAGTAACAATCGATGGTAAATTTCCTGGGATTAAAAACGTGTGTGTACCCACAAAGTTTATTAGTCAATAACCTGTATTATCAATGCAAGTTTTACCATAATAATTTACCAGATAACATCAAACATTGCAGAAATCATCGCGATTTTAGTGGAATAAATTATGCAAATGAGAAAGCACGGGGCAGTATTCGGGCAGAATGCGAGGGCCGTGCTTATTTTTGTCGTACCTACAAATTATTCTTCTATCAAAAAATGAAAAATTATGTAGCCAAAATATGATATCCAAACTTACCAAGTTATATACTGGATTCCCCTTCTGAATTTCTCAAACTCTAGAGAGTGCCCGAGTCTACTTTTCTTTGGAGCAAATTATATCCCATAATAGTTCGTGACGTTCAAACAGGTACGATAACTCTTGTGGCCAAATATTAATGCAGTCGTGTCCAGTGGTTTCACGCAACACTACTATTGCTTCTCACCGTCACGGTGCCAAATCTACAAACTGTATTGATGACGGACTACGGGAGACATTCTCGCCGGTATTCAAATTATTGTATTGATGAAGAATAAAGATTTCCTTTTTTAAAGACAGTTTTGTAAAATAAATTCTATATATGGACACGGACTTAGACCTAATCTAATTCCATGATATGGATTACAGTGGCGTCATTTTTTAGAGTATGCGGGAGGGGAGGGTTTGGGAGGGGGAGTTCTCCCCTATAGCTTGAAAAAATAGAATTCAACTAGGCCCTAGAAGCAATCTCTCGTATCCTGGGAAATCCTTTCAGTCTGATTATTAACAAGTAAAACGCAATTTTTTATATGAAAAAATCTTCAACAAGTATTATTTACTAGATTTGTCTATACCCTTTTTGGCATATGAGTAGGGTCTATAAAACATTCTATAAGAATGAGTAAAAGTTTCTTCTGACGAAGATACAGGTGGTCGAGGGCGACACTATGATAATGACTGAAAAGACGAGATAGAAATTATTTTTCATTTTTACTTGTCAGCTGTTGAGGTACGTCACACTCGATAGCCAAAAATGTGTTTCTGGTGGTTGTAAAACTGATAGAGTCTCAGTTACATTGTTGATGCTTATGGATTTCTGTCATAATACAGGCAAAATACTAGAGAATTTTCTTATACACTGTAACTTCTCCTTAACTTTTCGTCTGACCTGTTTCATTTTAACTCCCAGAACACTGTTGGTATGGATTCTTTAATGAGAATCATGATCATTCAAGTTATACCGTTTTTACTAGCAAATATTGTATTAGTTTACCAAAACCATTTTTAAATATATTAAATCCACACACATTAAATTGATTTAATCATTTTCTCATTTTACACATTAAATGGTTATTATTCAAAGGTGGTTTTTTTTTTCATTCACAAATCTTTCTGTTACTAGTATAAGAGCGCAGCCATTGTATTTTTTTTAGATTTTTATGTCATAAAGTAGGTTGTGTAGTTTATTCTATTCCTTATTTGGTATAGTCCTAAATATACTGTTTTAACACTGGCCTGTAAGTATTATGCTATTATTAGTATTCAGTGTCGTATACTGTACACGCATCCGGTACATTTCTTATGCATATTCTGTTTTTGTTATAAACTGATAAAATTTACACCTTTGTAAAACCACTGCTTGAAATAAATATCGTTTCATATCTTTATTAAATCGAATACAGAATATGTTCACCGGTTAAAATTGATGTAATAATTTACGATCTTCTGTTGATACGAATGAAAACTGATATCACAGAATCTTTTCCAGTGTAGATGAAGTCTGTCAGGAGATGAAATGTATACCGCACTCCAGCTTACACAGAAAGTAAAAAGCAAGTCAGGGGCGGGTCCAGGTGATGGCGTAATGGGGGTCTCCCCCCCCCCCCCTTTTAAAAAAAAAAAACCCCACAAAAAAACTTACCTAATCTGCTAATATTGTATTGAATATGGCAATTTATCATTTTCATTAATTAAACACATAAACCCCCTGACACTTTAACTATAAAATATACATGCTCCAAGTCAGGAACCGTTACATTAGTGCATTTCACAATTATTTTATGTTTTTTAGCAAAAAAAAGGTCCATTTTTTTTTTGCGTCGCTCCGCTCGGCGAAAGATTTGATTCTACGCCCCCTCTTTCAAATATCCTAGAAACGCCGCAAGTCATCAGCAAATATCATATAACTTCATTATTAATTAGTTTTAAGGATCAGTCAAAATTAAATACATAAAATTGTTCATGAACAAACTAAAAGTAGTGGATTTAAACTGTCGCCATACCATCCCTGTATGAATAGATTAGAAAGAGGATATCAATGAGGAGGTACATTTGTTACAATGTTATGATAATACCCTCAGGACCCTTGGAAACTGTATCATGTTCTTTTGGTCGTTTGGACATGAGCAGACAAATGGCCAAGTGTTTTTACAATAGAATATTGAACTGAAAAAAAACAAGGCAACATCCAGCATTACGTAGTTTACTTAGAGTACCCAAAAAATACCTCAAAATCTACCATTGAAATTTCCAGACGTGTTGAAGTCAATAAAGGTTGGGTTCTTGCCTATGTTAAAAGTACCATAGACCCTGCCCACACACGGATTTTTATGAAACTTTACAAGTTCTTTAATCAAACCATAGCTGAACGGAAACAATAAGTTTTATTCGAAATCATGCAAAAAGCAAGCCCCAAAGGGCCTACCATGCATTTTGTCAAATTAACGCTTGTTACAGTACTTCCTTTTGAAGCTCCATAACATTTCTCTTACTGTATTTTGATCATGAAAAATGCTTATATTGATTACAGACATGCTAGCAGTTAAAATGATACCACATTTTAATATGTCGGTAAGATACTTAAGTTGACAGTGAAGAAAAACTGACAAGATTTTCATAATTTTTCTGTTAAAATTGCTAATGTATCACTATGTTATTTCAAACAACATTTTTTCAAAGTTCCACAGAGAGTCTCATTTAAATACAAGCTCGCCTTTATCTTAAACTAGGTCATAGATGCACATAACTTGTATCACTATCCATTAATTTGGAAAAAACCCGAATGTCAGATAGTCAGATAGTATGAATGCATGCCATACTTCAAAAAAAGCGGGGAGGAAGGGAGGGGGGTAGGGCAAATAGACAGATTTTGTTACACTACCTTGATTGGCCTACTACTTGTATTTTATTTTGGCAGAAAACAATCAGTGTTTGGTTTATTTCCATACTTCTGTATCAATCACCCATCGTCCCATAGCTTAAAGTGGGGGAGGCCAATATATAAATGATCAGCGCACTAACTAGACTGCATGGGACACACACCAAATACCTTAAAATACAAGGTACTAGTTGGACCTTCTACCAACTGGGCTATCGCAGACGATACCCCATATCAGCAAACAACTGACTTCTTAAAATTAGACACACGTTTGAGGAAGTTTGCTTTGAAGCATTTCCCAGAAAGTATAATATGTGCACACATTCCAACACTTTGCTTACCAGTAGGGCAAGTGTGGAATCTGCAATATCATACTGAATCCAGACGTTGTATTATATTGTCTACAATGAATCTGAACCCTGAGCAAACCAGTTGAACCAGACATTTTAAACTAAAAATAATTCTATAGTAGTATAGTATAAGAGACTAGTGTAAGACAATGCAAAAAAAATAAAAAAATAAGCTTAATGAAGATGAAAGGAGAGTGTAGAGAATGTGATGATGATGATGATGATGATGATGATGATGATGATGATGATGATAATGATGATGATGATGTCTCCACAATCATAATTTGAAACATTTACAAAAATCAATCCTGATTGTGTGTACTTATCAGGCGCGTAGCTAGCCCCTTTACAATGTGAAAGCCCGACATGGGGTTGCCAAAGGCAGCTCCCCCCGAAGCGCGTAGCGTGAGCAGGGGAAGGGTACGGGAGGGTGTCTTCCCCCTCCCGTAAGTGGGGGG